TCCATCTTAAAGTTGAGAAGATTGAGAAACGCTGCTCTAAGTTGAACAATTTCCAATCTAAGCCACTCTACGCTGTGTTTTGAGACAGGAAAACATCCCCTAAACATAGAAGACTAGCCTTTCAGGGTTCTGCATTAGCCAGGATGCCTAACATGCTAGATATCAATCACACATTCCCCTTTGGAGGTCGATTGCCAGATCCCTGCATTCAAGGTGAGCTTCCAGGGGATTTAGCAGCCAGGCTTCAAAATAATCTCTACCCCTAGGAATATTCCTGCACTGAGCTCAGTGGGATCCTGACGACCCTTCTTCCTTTTGTATTTTGTTTTCCAAAACGGGCTGCCGGGTTCCCTGCAACCAGAATCGCCCTTACCGGCCCGAGGTTCGAAACCAAACCTCGTCTGTTTACATGAGCACGTTGAGAACTGGCAAAGAGAGCATTGTAAATATCCTGCAATGGATTTATATCCGTGTGTGTGTTTTTGGTTTTGCTGTTTTTTTTTTCCAAGGTGTGGGGGACTGTATTTTGCACAAAGGATCGCGGTGTATTTTTTCTTTAGTGCTGCAAAATAAAAGAGTTGTTGGGGCTGCTGTGCCGCGATATATTTACAGCTCCACACTGACTGGAGGGAGGAGAAATCGGATTTGGTACCCACGGGGCCCACCGGTATAGCCTTAACTGCATTTATTTTATTTTATTAAATTTTATTATTTTTTTTGAAGGGGGGGACTTATAGCTAAAGAATGTCCTTCAGTTCAGTTTGGTGCTTCCCAACTAACTCTAGTGCTTGTCAACAGGACTGGTAACGTGAATACAGAATAACACTTAGGTTGAACTGGTGGTTTTATTGATACCCCACAATGGCAAGCCACAAATGGGGGTTTATGCCATGCAGGGGTTTACATTATCCGCAGGTTTCGAGAGCCCATCATTTGGTGTGGAGTGAATCCTCTGGATCAGTGTTTCTCAACCTTGGTGACTTTAAGACGCGTGGACTTCAACTCCCAGAATTCCCCAGCCAGCTATG